AAGTAGAGTATTTTTGATATCATTGAAGTAATCTATATCGGGCCAGGTTTCCAAATCATCGGGAGCCGCGGTGTTTCGGGTTCGCTCCCGGAGTTGGAAGAGAAAGTTCCTGGGTTTTCCGACGTGCTTTCCACCTGACAACGCACAGTAGGCCATAGCACGCCTGGCCGTACAAAATCTCCTGACATTGCACACTTCATGGCGCATGCCCGTCTTTATTAGCACATTCAGTGCATAACAGCAGGACATTAAACTTTATTTCATTTCCAAATCACCGGTTTTGTGTTAGGAAGTAGAAGGACTCTTTGGGGATTGGGCGAACGATTCACCGCCCTTATTGATCTCATTCTACAGTTCGGTATCATAATTAAACGAATTTAAAATTGGTATAGTTCTACACTGTTTACACCCTCTCAAAGTCCCATATTAAGCGCCCGTTGAGGTGTCCCGGGGTAATTGTCACCACCCCTCCTCTCTTATATTTTAATGTTTCCATGCCTATAAATTTTGAATCAATAAATTTATACCAATGATACTTAAAGATACATTATGGGAGATTTTTTATAGAGAGTTGGCCATTCTTGCTATAACAGTTCAAAAGTAGATGATGAAAGAAGAATATATTGGAAATTTCAGTCAAATTACTTTATTCTGAACATAGTTATCATCGTTGTAATATTTGACTAGAAATGGTAGTGAAATGTGCCTTCACCTTGGCCGAACGTTTGATTGACAGGCGTTAACTCCACCTACATATCACGATTATCAATTAAAGTTTTCAATGGCATGCGGAAACGCTCTACAGCGGCCTCGCTAAGTACACTCTATCATTTAGCCTCGATCTAACTGTCGTATTCTCATCAGGGTGCGCCATATTTGAATTTATCAATAAGTGAAATCCTATTTAAATCCGAGCTGTAGCCGAGCCATCCGTGGGTCTACAGAGTTGATTTTGGGCTTGTTGTTTAAATAAAGATCTAATTTATAATTTCTATAACATCTGAAGTCTAAATTAAGACTTGCAATAATCAGATTTTGCTCTTGCATAATGTATGTTTAATAGGACTGCGAAGATACATAACCTTAAAATTTATTAGTCAACATAGGGTAATATAGACAAATATTATGATTTCAAGATTTTGCATCCACTCATATGTCCATGTTCACGTATTATGCCACCACCCCTGTCCATGCGTGTGTCTACAGATCACAATTTGTTGTCCGACTTTTATGATACTTGGAGCCACGCTGGCTAGGTGGTTAAGACGCTGGCTAGCTAGCCTGGAGGTCGGGTGTTCGATCCCTGCATTGGCCGAGAAAGTTCATCCTGATTTTCCGACGTGCCTGACAATAAAAGCTGTCTAGTCCTTCGGATGAGACGAAAAACCGAGGTCCCGTGTATACATTAGAATGCACGTAAAAGATCCCTTGACAGTTGGAATTCGATATAAGAGTAGGCGATAGTGCCGCTGCCCGGGCAAAATTCCCCTCACAGCACACTGTATGGCGTATGCTCGTCTTCATTAGCCCAGTATAGGAGCAGAACAGTAGAACGTTAAACCCCATTTCATTTCATTTTGATGAAACTTAAACTATATGTTGATATCTCAAAGATCTCGAATGGGTTCGATTTTTGCACTTATCTCACGATAACATTTTGGATTATAGCTCCTGATCTTACGAAAGTCGCACACATAGTTTGTGGATCCCCTGGAGATCACAATTTTTATTCAATTTCTTTTAAAACTTAAAATGTATGTGTATATATGATAAAAAGATCTCGAAAAGCTTAAATTTTGACACATATCGGACCGTAATTTCCTGGATGTTTGCCCCTGGTTGAACGATTTTTAAAACTATCCAGAATAGTTTTGTTTTGTATATAAAATATTTTATGATTTTTATCTGTCAGGTTATGAAGAAAGGCGAGATTTTACATGTTCCCACTCAACCTCCATACAATTGTAAACAGCGCCATCTGTTACCAATATGAGCTTAGAATTATGACGCCTTTATCGCGTAACATTTGTGAAATGTCAAAATGTTAAAGTGTCAATTCCGATAATATTTTAGAGAATAAAACTGCTTATTTTTGTGTTAAAAAAACTTAAAATCCTCTACCTTAGGACCGAGCAACTAACTCAGTATATATGATACGTTTTCAAACAACTTAAACCTGTCAGTCTTCATCTGGAAATGGAGATCTGTGTTCCAAGCTGTATTATGCGGTGTCTGGATAAAACCAGACTTTTATTTTATAAAAATAATGTGTAGGTCAAATTTACCTTTCGTTATCAAGTACAGCACGTGGGTCATTCATTCACAGCATAGACCTCTAAAGGAACGGGAATCGATTATCAGGTCACCCAACAAAAAAACTGACCCGAAATCTTAAAAGGGTTACTTGTCCGGATAAGCAGTTTTGACGTTCACGTCCACACGACTCAATATTTTGAACTGAAATTTTGAGACAAGGTAAATACACCATTCCTCTATATTTTGGCGCTTAAATTTCATACCTACTCGGATTTTTATTTTTGAGACTCTGTTCAAATCGGAATAGTCCCTTTAACGAAACTATACCGACTACAGTAAATTAAAAGTAATGATGGAAATAAAACAAAATACAAATTCTAACTGCAATATTAAAAAAAATAAGTCATATAAGTAAGCATTTTTACATGTGTAAATAGCCAATTTAACATGTGTTAGTAAGAAGTTACATGCATAAAAGTAAGCATATTAGCATACGCATTACTAGGTTAGGAGTTAAGAATTATGGGGGAAATTCCGCTCCATACCTTTCAGGCAATCCATCCTACACCAGTGGTTGTCGCACTACTTGCTGTACTAAAAAATGCCCTGGCGCCTTCGAACCATTACTGCAAAATCGAATGTTCTTATTTCGTCCGTTCGTTGCGGTTTATGTACGAAATTGAAAAAACCGTTGAATTCTACTGATAAAAAATGCGCTGATACATGGGAGGCAACTCTTTTTTTGTGACGAATAGGATTGCATATAATATCACCTACTACGAGAAGATTTATTTCTATAAACTTTACATATATTTCGATCAGGCACGATATTTTCTGACAAAAATTGAAAATTCCACCGTTTCAACAATCCCTAGTGAGGTCATGTCTTTGGAATAACCATACCGAAGAACAGGGTGAGAGTCAGACACCATGGCGTATGGCGGCGACAGAGGATGTACACAAGCGCACAAATAAACAGATAAAAAGTTAATGCATGCACTTTGCACCCGAGACTATACAATCGAAGTTCCTTTAGTCAATTCTCATCCATTCTGATTAATCCTAATGATGAAATGGGGTTTAACGTCCTACTATACTGGGCTAATGAAGACGGGCATACGCCATACAGTGTGCTATGGGGGAGATTTTTCCTGGGCAGCGGCACTATCGCCTACTCTTATATCGAATTCCAACTTCCAGGGGATCTTTTACGTGCATTCCAATATATACACGGGACCTCGGTTTTTCGTCTCATCCGAAGGACTAGACAGCTGTCCTTTTCAGGCCCTCCGTCCTGCATCACTGACAAGGGGGAACCACGCCGGAAAATCTGGATGAACTTTCTCGGCCAATGCAGGGATCGAACTTGATTATTGCTAAAATGAATTTATTTCTGTTGATTCTGTGCCTCATCCAAGAAATAATACAAATCGTGTATTTTGCCAAGAAGTTTAGAAGATGTCTGGCTTCAGCTCATTAGCTTGAAATATCTGTATACCATGAGTACACTTTAGTTTCATGTTAATATGTCAAATGTTATCTCATGTACAATGTTTAATACGTCATTCAGCCACTCTAGCAACCCTTATTGCATGCAGTCCTGACAAACACAAAATTAAAATGAAATGGTGCCATGAGGGGAATTTAGCCCGGTACGCAATAAAATAAAACCAAGTACGAACAATCCAAACCATTAGACAAAATTCGAAGTCCTAAAAAAAAAACCAAACAAAAAAACAAAAAAAACGGTATAGGCAAAATAGTGTAATCAGCATATGGACTGTTCAACGTGTACAAAATACACGACAAACAGTGGTAACAGGTGTCCGGAAGAGTAAGCTTACCCTGCCTGGCGCCACACCCACCATAGCTGCATCCAGACTATTAGGCGAAATCTCGGTAAAATAGCGTGATTGGCCAATGGACTATCGGTATGCAAAATGCACGTGATGAACAGTGTTAACGATGTAGTAGACAGACATTGTCAGGAAGATGCTACGGTCTACACTTATTACGAACACCAACTGTCACGGGATCTTTTACGTGTACACATTGGCGTGCACGCAAAAGATCCCTTGGCAGTTGGAATTCGATAAAATGAGATCAGCTGACAATAATTATTAAACATAACCTTTCCTAATATTTATGTGAAGATTGAAATTATTGAAGAAATATACCATAATACGCTCGTATGAGAAAAAATTAATAAATTCTTGATTGGTTGCATATTTACAATTATTTGAGAAAATATACCCTTTAATATGAGAAAAAATTAATAAATTGTTGATTGCGGTTGAATATCGCACGCAGATACAGTGGACTACATACCACACATAACGAATTACAAATCAACACAAAACAATTACTTATCAATATGAATTAATTACATATCAACAGAAATCAATTAAATCTCAATATGAATTAATTACATATCAGTTACGTATTAATATGAATCAATTACATATCAATTACATATCAACATATATCAATTACATATTAATATGAATCAATTACATATCAATATGAATCAATTATATATTAATATGAATCAATTACATATTAATATGAATCAATTACATATGCAATCACATAGCAATCACATAGCAATCACGTAGCAATCACACAGCAATCACGTAGCAATATATTGTTTAATGTCTCGTACAAATTGATCTAGAGAATGAATTACATATCAAATATTTATCTAGACAAGACAATAAATTACATATCAACATATTGTTTATTATCATTAATTTATCTAGTGAATCAATTACCCATATAATTACATATGTGGTAAATATTATTACATATCCATATATTGTTTAACATCACGTGGTAAATATTTATCTAGAGGATGAATTAAATATCAATGTATTGTTTAACGTCACGTGATAAATATTTATCCAGAACTTTAAAACTGTACGTCATCAATTCATCCTGGCGTTCAACGTTCCTGCAATAAAAAAAAATAATTATGTTTACTTCTGAAATAGTAAAAAAGAAAATATATATAAAAAAACACCAGAAAATAACTATAATGGCGTTTCATTATTATGACGTATGACGTGGTCAATAATTTGAAAAGATGCTGTTGGAATAATATTGGGTCTTTCATTATAAAAACCTTACTTTTTAAAACAAGAATGAGAAGAAACAGAGAAATTTACATGACTAATATTATGCATTTTGATTATATAATCGTTTTACTCCATGGTTTTATAGCAACCAAGGATCTAATATAGAGTCTTACAATAGGATTAAAATCATACTAAGGATAAACAAATATAAGTCTTACTTCGGATAAGAAAATAGAAGTTTTACTTAGGATAAGTACTTAGGTTAAGGAAATATAAATCATACTTCGGATAAGGAAATACAAATCATACTTAGGATAAGGAAATACAAATCATACTTAGGATAAGGAAATACAAATCATACTTAGGATAAGGAAATACAAATCATACCTAGGATAAGGAAATATAAATCATATTTAGGATAAGGAAATATAAATCATACTTAGGATAAGAAAATAAAACTCATACTTAGGATAAGGAAACCTAAATCATACTTAGGATAAGGAAATATAAATCATATTTAGGATAAGAAAATAAAACTCATATTTAAGATAAGGAAATACAAATCATACTTAGGATAAGGAAATATAAATCATATAAAGAAATACAAATCATATTTAGGATAAAGAAATATAAAATCTATACTTAGGATAAGGAAATATAAATCATACTTAGGAAAAGGAAATATAAATCATATTTAGGATAAGAAAATTAAACTCATACTTAGGATAAGGAAACCTAAATCATACTTAGGATAAGGAAATACAAATCATACTTAGGTTAAGGAAATATAAATCATACTTAGGAAAAGGAAATACAAATCATACTTAGGATAAGGAAATACAAATCATACTTAGGATAAGGAAATACAAATCATACTTAGGAAAAGGAAATATAAATCATATTTAGGATAATCATATTTAGGATAAGGAAATATAAAATCTATACTTAGGATAAGGAAATACAAATCTTACTTAGGATAAGATGTTGTTGAATCTATTTTACAATTAGAGAAATATACACCAGTCTCTCCTTTATACGCTGGATCTGTAGCAGCTTTTATTATTGTTGTAGCTCCTTCATAGCCATTACGAGAGAAAGCTAAAATAAAAGATCGATCAAATTAATCAATTTTAATCATACACGCCCCAATAATCTCTATAACATATAATAAAGTGATGCATGTCTTCCAAAATCTAAACAAAGTGCTAAACCAAACATATTCGAAAAATAAGAGAGAGAGAGAGAGAGAGAGAGAGAGAGAGAGATGGGGTTAACGTCCACTTGACACAAGATGGTCATTTCGCGACTAACATATGATTCAATTTTATTTAAGGTTGGACGGGTGACCCTACTATTTGTAACGTACAACGGGGGAATCGAAACCACGCCAGTTGACTCAATGACAGACCTTATGATATAGCGCGCACTCGCTAACCATTCGGCCACCCCCCGCCCACCAAGCAAGACAGGATTATTATTAAAATAAAATAAAGAATAATTATAAATAAGTCTTATAAGCTGTTCTAGAAAGGGTAAGGTATACCTTTGTTTCACGAATCTATAAATCTTTATAGATGGAACACAATTCAGAGATATCGGATTATTGTATTAAGGAAATAATTAATTACCTGCCATTGCTCGACCAAAAGAATAACCTTGGGTCATCTGTGTTTTAACATAACCAGGATGACAACTTGTTATAGTAACAGACTTGTCTTTAACGTGACGTGTTAACCAGTGCATTGACATGATCTAAAATAACATATAATAGACTTAACATGATTGGATAATATTAGATTGATTTTAGTGCTTAGCCAATCAAAATTGAAGTATCTACTAAAATTTGGATTTTATCTTTAGTTAAGATGTCGAGAAACAGACCCTTGTGCATTGACGTAATCTAAAATAAACTATACTAGACTTAAAGGAGCAAAATCGCTAATATTTGGGACCTAGAAATTGACAAAAATGGGTCGCAACGCATATAATAATGTAATATGAATGTATATAAACTGATTTACATTCAATCGTTTCTGTTTTTACTGTAATTTCTAATCAGTTACGTTCGGCGAAATACGCCAAAAGTCTCATGTGAATGGCAATCTTTATCGTCTGGTTTTTCCAGTCTACACAGATGGTATTTATTGCGCATGCTCTCCAGACAAGAATATAGCGTCAAGCCCTGTTCTTTGAGTCCCTTGTTCCAAATGGCGCTGAAACGCAGTATGGTACACGATTCGTGTACCAATGGTAAAATGTTTATTTTGTCTTGAATATTGGATATCAGAAGCCCATCTTTTCCCTGTAAGATCACAAAACCAATGTTGATTTGAATTGACAAATAATTCGTGTTTTCAATGTCGAAGATTTTTGATGATATTGAGTTAGAGACTTAGCTACTTTAACATGGCGTTTTAACCGATGCATTGACATGATATCAGTATAGACATAACATGCTTTAAAAAAATAATAATAAAATATATGATGAAATCGGGTTTAACGCCCTACTCTTCTGTGTCGACTAGGCTAATAAATAGGCCTACGGCAAAAAATTAAAATCATCTCTCACCCACGGATCGAGCAATATGGTTATGAATGAATGATGATTAAAATAAGCCAATAGCCTTTAGGATGGGGCGCAAAACCTCCACGTGGCACAAAAACTATAAAACCGTTACACAAAGCGCGTCAATGCGCACTCTTCCAATAAACTTTGCCTCTGTGTCCCACAGACTTCAAAGACATCTTTTTTGGTCAAACCTCAATTTACCCATTACCAGAATCTTCCAACAAAGAACTACAAACTAACCTGAAAAAGTTTACTATTTCCATAATTAGTGACTGAGCTAAATGACTGCTGGACGTTGATATTGTTCTTGTCTAATTTACCAAATCTGTAGCCGGCTGATGTTGTCTGCACAATTCGGCAATCTTCGCCAGATTTTTGTAAAAGTGGCAGAAAATGGAGAATAATCAAAAGATTTGATAAATAGTTCGACTGTAACATCATTTCATATCCATCTTCAGTCATTTCTGTAAATAATTACAAATTAATATATGAAATGAATTGATTTTCACGTCCTCTCTTTTACACCGACTGGGGAGTTTGATGGCCGAATGGTTAGCGCGTGCGCGTTGTATCATAAGGTCTGTAATTGAGTCCTCGGTCGTATACGTGACAAGGAGTAGGATCGCCTGTCCAACTGCGTGGGTTTTCTCCGGGTCCTCCGGTTTCCTCCCACTGCTACAGACCCCTACACGCAAGCGAATTATTGACAGTTGAACCATATGTTAGTCCCGAAATGACCTAGTTTGTGTCGAGTGGACGTTAAACCCCACCCATCCCCCTCTCTTTATAGTAGGACATAACGCTAGTGACGTGAGATTAAATGTAAATTACCAGCAAAACACTTCTATCTATTCTTATAAATTAATATTTTCATAAAATTGCTATAATGCGTGTACGACGTTACAGCTACCAACGTTTCGGTCACAGTCTTTTCTAGACCAGGCCGGCGGCGTTATCAGTGAGATTCCCGCCCCCTACCCAAACACACCCAATAAGCACCAATTAGTGCCTATTTAACCACCGTGACCATGATCAAACTGTCTGAAAGATCGCTCTTCCCATTAAAGTTGACTATAAAAGATTCTGCTGGTTATTTTTATTTCTATCGCCATTTTACCTTTATTATGGACATGTATCCCAGCGTTCAAAATCAGAACATGTAATGGACAGTTCCTTGCTTTAAATTCTTCTATAAATTTCATGGTTTTCTCAAACGATGCCAGATCTAATTCCATCTTTTCGACATTTAATCTTCTTGGTTCCATTCTCTCTGTTTCTGGTAATTTAGCCTGTTTTTCTTTAAATTCTTTCTCGTATTCCTCCTGCATCTGTTGTATCGCCTGAAAATAATGGCGGGTTACAAATCGTCAATGTTATTGTCTGAGACTGGAAAAACCAGACGGAACTCACCCGAGACACGGACACTAAGTCTGAGATCATACGCACAAATGAAATGACATGAAATGAAATGGTTTTAATTTCTCACTTTTCTGCCCCAACCGGGATAATGAAGACATGTATAGAACATATGCAGAGTGATATGAAGGAAACTTTCCACAGCCAGCGTCTCTAATGGCCTACCCTTTTTGATGTGCTGCGAGAGGTATACACGAGACCTCAGTTTTCCGTCCTCTACGAAAGAATCCCCGTCCTGCACATTCTGAAAAATTCTGATCCCGGGACTTCTAAATTGTATATAACCCATATTCACCAAACCACCGTGGCCCCCGAGACCACCCTCACGAGAAGACACACATATAGAGAGTACAACTATTGTTATAATGTTATTTCATAATCTTTAACACACATTCATTTTAAGATATAGTTTGGAAATTCACGCAGGGTCGGATATTATTAAAACAAAACTTACTGTTTCAGCTTTATTCATATTTCTACAGGCTATAATAACATGGCCGCCCATTCTAGATATTTCTTTAGCAATGTAATAACCAATACCTGCAATTTGATTTTATTAATATAAATGAAATGAAATGGGGTTTAACGTCCTACTGTTCTGCTCCGAACTGGGCTAATGAAGACGGGCATACGCCATACAGTGTGCGATGAGCGAAATTTTGCCCGGAAAGCGGCACCACGGCCTACTCTTATATCGAATTCCATCTGTCAAGGGATCTTTTACGCGCACGCCAATGTGTACATGGGACCTTGGTTTTTCGTCCCATCCAAACGACTAGACAGTTGTCCTTGTCAGGCCGTCCGTCCTGCATCACTGGCAAGGAGGAACCACGCCGGAAAATCGGGACGAACTTTCTCGACCTATCCAGGGACTGAACACCTGACCTCTAAGCTAGTGAGCCAGCGTCTCTACCCACTTAGCCACCTGACCCCTTTATTAAAATACATCGGAATATAATACAACAGCATCTTTGTCGTAGCCTATACGCTAAGCAGGTTCAACAGACTAGGAGAATATCAAATGAATTATTAATTCCGATATGTAATAATTTACATGATGTATGTGGCACTTGAGGAGCTACGGTGGCTCAGTGAGTAAGGCGCTGGCTCAGTAACCAGGAGGTTCGATCCCGGTGTTAGCCGAGCAAGTTCGGACGAGACGAGAAACCGATGTCCAATTTACACGTTGGTGTGCACATAAAAGAACCCTTGGTAGTGTCACACTGCATGACGTATGGCTGTCTTCATTAGCCCAGTTAGTGTATAAAGGTAGTTGGCCGAGAAAGTTCATCCAGGTTTTCCGGCATGGTTCCCCCTTGTCAGGGCCTGACAAGGACAGCTGTCTAGTCCTTCGGATGAGACGAAAAACCGAGGTCCCATGTATATATTAGAATGCACGTAAAAGATCCCTTGGCAGTTGAAATTCGATATAAGAGTAGGCGATAGTGCCGCTGCCCGGGCAAAATTTCCCTCATAGCACACTGTATGGCGTATGTCCGTCTTCATTAGCCCAGTATATATGAGCAGAACAGTAGGACGTTAAGCCCCATTTCATTTCATTTAGTAAAAAGGTAGGACGTTAAAGTGAAATTCCATTTATTTCATTTCATGTGGTCCTTGATGTTCTAGATATGTAGGCCAGCTCGTCTTAGTACATGTAAATAAACATCCAAATTATATTATTTATCTGCGTAGGTGCTATAGTTTGTTTTAGTGCGAGGCTTGTCCACTTGCCTGTATTTCCACCTGTGATAATATAAGTTCTTTCAGGTGGAATCTCAACTTCTGGAAATGACAGATTAGACCCCATGTTAATAAGTTGTCATATACAGATTTCTCTGAAAATAAAGATATTTCCAATTAATACTGAGACTGTTTTAAACCTTTTTTGTCACTAATTTTTGTACGTGAAAAGGAGTTGAATGGCCTGTTCAACCTCGTGGGTTTTCTCCAGGTACTCAGATTTCCTCCAAGTACTAAAATACCCCTACGCGCAAGCGAATTATTGAAATAAAATTGAACCATGTGTTAGTCCCGAAATGACCTAGTTTGTGTCGAGTGGAGGTTCAATCCCATCTCTCTCTCTCTCTCTCTCTCTCTCTCTCTCTCTTCACGAATTCAGATCAACGCTGCAACGACCCCTCGTGCTGATCAACGCTTTTGTTATGTATATTAATCATACATTATTTCAGAGCTAAATCTGCCTATTGCAGGCCTTTCTTTAGGCCTGAAATATTATCTAAATTATTAATTAGACATCAGTTAACTTATCCAGACCATAATAAACTCTTGATACCATCGTTAGCCTATGATATTTAGTGGACTTGAATACATTTTGTGATGGATAATCTAACGTAAAAATGGATGGTCGAGACTTGGTTTATTATCGTACCAAAGTTAGTTATGACGTTCGAGACTATCCTAAAATTGAACTGCTAAGTGAAGCAATTAGACTGAAATTTTCAGCATATTTTGTTTTCATTATCTATTTGTTAACTATTATAGCGAGAACTATCAGCTCTTTATCTAATCTTACCTGATGTCCCTTTAAGGACTAAGCATAACAGACTTTTCCCGCGAAAGTTGTGATGACATTATTAATAACCCAATAATTTTCACCCCCTTGAGACGTTGTGATAGAATCGAAAGTAAAAGAAGCCTTGACAGTTGAAATTTCATGAAGAGTAGACCGAACGGCCGCTGATCGTCTGGTCTGATCTGGTCTTTTTACGACTGCTTCCACAATAATGATATCACAGGGTTATTTAGCTCAGTTGGTGCAGAAAAGTAGGACTTTAAACCCCATTTCATTTCATTTCTATTTGTATAGTACCCCTCCGTGGAAAGAGAAAGGTTTATATACATTTTATCATCAGATAACGTAATAAAAATATATCTAGTCTTTACGTATAGACCGCACTGACCTATTTATCTATAACGTCTATATGTATGTTCTATATATCAACCAAGTCATCATATACATATAACATTGATGCATTGTCGTACACACACACACACACACACGGCTAAATCTATTTGTTAAGGCCAGCTCAATTTTTGTCAAGGTCGTTGAGATGTAAATAAGGTTAGGACACGTGATTGTTGGCGAGGTTGTAGGTTAGGGTAAACATTGGGGCTAGGTCCAGGGTTAGGGTTGCGCTAGCCCTGTTTACATCTCCTGACCTATGACGAAAAATTGAGCTAGCCTTATCATTTAGTACTACCCCACCCCACTTACACATACACACACACGTACACACCCACACACACTGTCACATCTTACATATTATTCAATACAATCAATGGATGTCATTGACTATTTGAATTTAAAAAATAAAAATACTATAGTTGGCTACATACCGTTATGCTTCGTTTAGTATGGCTTCTTTCCTTTCGTTTTTACAGAGATATATTAGGAAAATCACTTTTAATGCAGCTAAGCGTGAACGCCCAATCACATGCTGTTTGAATTAGGACAACTGAAAAGAGTATAGGTCCACCTTACCTTAAATATTATATTAGAAATTTCACGACCCGTTTCATCAGACAAAACATAATATCTGCACTATTACCAGGGTTTACTTTATTTACACAAACTGATCACGACTCTACGATAGCCGGGCGCGGACTGCTGGTTAAAACTCTTAGTAATTCAATAACTTGTCTAACAACTTATTACTCTCTTTTTTAACTTACTCTAACAACTTATTTGCCTATTTCTAACTTACTATAACAGAGAGAGAGAGAGAAAGAGAGAGAGAGAGATGGGGTTTAATGTCCATACAGTGTGCTATTAGAGAAATTTTTCCCGTACAGCGGCACTACGGCCTACTCTTATATAGAATTCCAAATATCAAAGGATCTTTTACGTGAACGCCAATGTGTACACGGGAACTCGGTTTTTCGTCCCATCCGAAAGACTAGACAGCTGTCCTTGTCAGACCCTCCGTCCTGCATCACTCACAAGGGGAAGAGAGAGAGAGAGAGAGAGGGGGGGGGGGGTAACGTCCACTCGACACAAACTAGTTCATTTCGGGACTAAAATATGGTTTTAATTTTTTTATTTCAATAATTCGCTTGCGCGTAGCGGTCTTTAGCCAGTGGGAGGAAACCGGAGGAGCCGGAGAAAACCGGGGATTCGAAACCACGGCAGTTGACTTAATGACAGGCCTTATGATACAGCACGCACGTGCGAACCATTCGGCCATCCAACCCCCAACTTACTATAACAACTTATTATTATATTTCCAACTTACTCAAGCGGCAGACACAGTGTACAGACGAATTTCTGTCCCTATCAACCAGCGCCGAATTGCAGCGGCTTTCATTCGACTGATTGATTGGGGTGGGGTGGGGTCTAAGTGGGTTACCTAAAAATACTAACTTCGTTTAGCTTCTAACGCCTAACTTCAAATTGCTCTTATAGTTTCCTATGTCTATATCCCTATTTTGAATACTTAAACGCATTTAATTTCTTACCTAAATGCAGTCAATTGGCCATTTACACGTGTTTAAGTGTCAAATAAAATGTTTTACTTCATAAATATTGCATTTGATTTTGGATTTTGGATTTTTACATTATTAATTTTGATTTAATAACATAATGTTTGTATTGTAACAGATCAGTCTTGTTTAGTTTCTTAAAATATTTTAACGTTAATAGGAATTCAAGAACGATAACTCGTTTATGGCAGAAAATTACAGATAACAATTTAATAAATATCTTTCATAAATACATATTTATTATCATAATGTATTTAACACAATAAAACAATTGTAGACTGCTATTGAATAACATAAACTTATGTATTGTTTATTTCAAGATATATTTTATAGACTATGATGATTATATCTATTTTGCCATTGTAAAAAATCCTGTACTTTAAAAAGTAACTCTCTCAACTTAGATTCCGCGTTATGTCGACAATATAAACCAAATATTGAACACCTAATGCAGATAAGTCCCTAACAAGGACTTAAAATATTTGAATCCGCGGAAGTGGATTAAAGTATTATAAATTGTATTCTTATCCAATGATGGAGGGATTCAGCTAAGAAGACACGTGACATGATAGGCGTGGTTACATCTCGTGACGTGGTCACTGAATGTGTTCATTCTTCGTATTACTGCATATTTATAACTTTTATTGGTTTTTTTTTATCAGTATTGATACTGTTTAATAACTATTTAGTGGGAAAAAAATAACGTTTCTTTCTTCATCTTGGACACGTCCATTTAAACATCGTTGGATGTTTGTGTTTTCCTTGACACAAAACTTTTGCTATTCGTTAAATGGTGACCTCCTTCCCCTGAAGCTTTATCTATCTCCTATTCTTTCTCGACTCATAGGCGTACGGGCCGATTTTACTTGGGGGCTGTATCATTTTTGTCCGAAAAATCGAGCGGCAGCGCCCGGAAACTGTGAAAACATAGATCAGTTTCGTACATATAGGGGTTATTTTTGTCGGAACAGAATATAACACATCTGCATACAAAACAATACCGGAACTTAAACTATACAGGAACTGGACTACGTCGGGAACTAGACTACGTTACAGAGTATGCCTCGACTATCTTTCTTTTTAGACCCCCCCCCCCCCTTGTCAGTGATGCGTGACGGAGGGCCTGACAAGGACAGCTGTCTAGTCGTTCGGATGTGAAGAAAAACCAAGGCCCCGTGTACACATTGGCGTGCACGTAAAAATCCCTTGACAGTTGAAATTCGATATAAGAATAGACCGTAGTGCTGCTGTTCGGGCAAAATTTCCCTCATAGCACACCATATGGAGTATGCCCGTCTTCATTAGCCCAGTTCGGAGCAGAACAGTAGGACGTTAAACCCTCTTTATTTCATTTTATTTTTTTTAGTGTTTTTAATTACGGCTAGGTTTATCCTTACAGAGAAAGTAGTATTCTCAAATCATCGGTACGGGAACCTTGCTGTTCGTGTTAGTCCCTAAATGACCTAGTTTGTGTCGAGTGGGCGTTAGGGGTCTTTAGCAGTGGGAGGAAACCGGAGGACCCGGAGAAAACCCACGAGGTTGGACAGGCGACCCTCTTCCTTGTCACGTACAACTGGGGATTCGAAACCACGCCAGTTGACTCAATGACAGGCCGTATGATACAGCACGCACGTGCTAACCATTCGGCCATCCAACCCACCAAGCATAAATGAAGGTCGGCTATGTCAGGTCAGTCAATTAAAATGATATGTCTATTATTCTTGTTTACACAAAAGGTTACGCTTGCCTCTATGGGCATATATAACGCGGAACAAGAACAAACGAAGGTGACGCAATATTGTTATAACGGTTACAAGCTCAATCAGCTTGGAGGAAGATGAGGGGAGAGGGGAGAGGGGAGGGGAGAGGGGGTGGGCGTGGTGGGGTTAGAAATAGAAGTGTCTGAAAATCTTCCATTAATTATTTTGATTTAATAACATGATGTTTATATTGAAAAAGATTGTAGTCTGTTTAGTTTCTTAAAGATACATTATGGGAGATTCGATAACGGGTTGGCAGTTCTCACTATAATAGTTAAAAACTAGATAACGTAAAGGCAATTTGCTGAAAATTTCATTCAAATTGATCCACTATGAACCGAAAACTAAGCGAATGAAATTTCTGCCTAGCCTCGGTCATCATTACTAAAGTCAGTACGATAAACAGCATAGTCTCGATTATCTATTTAATCGTTTAATCGAGAAGGGAAGTTATGCAGTAAATCGGCTCACAATCCACTTAAGATCGCAGGCTAGCGATGCCATCTAGAGTTGATTATGGTCTGGATAAGTTAATTAATGTCTAATTAATAATAATTTAGATAACATTTCAGGACTAAAGAAAGACCTGCAATAATAGACAGATTTAGCTCTTGCACTACGAGCCTACTCTTATATCGAATTCCAACTGTCAAGGGATCTTGTACGTGTACGCGAATGTGTACACGAGACCTCGGTTTTTCGTCCCATCCGAACGACTAGACAGCTGTCCTTGCCAGGCCCTCCGTCCTGTATCACTGACAAGGGGGACCCACGCCGGAAAATCTGGATGAACTTTCTCGGCCAATGTAGGGATCAAACACCCGATCTCCAGGCTAGCGAGCCAGCGTCTAACCCACTTAGCCACCGTGATTCCCCCCATGAAATAAGACCGGACCTTAATACTGCTGTCCAAAGAGTTGTTGTTGTTGTAAGTTAGTTGTATTTTACGTCCGCTTCCACCGAAGTGATATCGCAGAACATCACGTGTTATGTTTGATGACGTTTTTTTTAAAATTCGAATATCTCTCGGATTTCGTAGATGCCTGGTGTTGAGGTGTGGATACTGCTTTCTACTTCGTATAATCCTATTGATGGATTCCGTGGCTTTATAAATTCGAATTTTTGATTTCTCGAGATCTGGTGTTGTTGGAGATCTAGCTTCTCCTTCTCGTCTTCTTTTTAAAGCTGGTGGTTGGACTGGCGGAGACTGGTTGGCTGGTAAACTTTTCGAGACTGTTGGTGCCGTCGGAGCTGGCTTCCTGTCTTGTACTGTTTTTACTGCTGGTGGAACTGTCTCCTTTCTTTTTCAGGGCCTCGGAGAGGGCATTCTTTCCGTGAGTGGCCAAGCTTCTCACATCTAATACATGGAGAATGGTTGGCCTGGCGTAACTATTCTAACTCTCGCGTCTCCGTAGTGGGCTTGAAGTACTATTAGGTTGGGTATTTCTTTTACTTTTTTATTTGGTATTTCTATCTCGACTTCTCTTATTCTTCTGTGGACATTTGTATTACCTAGCCGGAGGTCTTTGAACGATCTTACTTGACCTATGTCTGTCATTATTTCGATGAATTATTCATCAGAGTAAGAGACTGGGAAGTCATATACCGCGAGGGTGAGCACTTTGGCGAAGCGTTTGTGGAAGCGGTAGGTTATTCCCATGTGGGTGTGGTTCTCTGCCTCGAGGATTTTTGTTTTGGTTTCTTTTGTGCGTACGTGTACGTGCCATTCTTTCTCTTTCAGGTATATGGTTAGGATGTCATCCCACTTGCCGAGTAGGTCTGTCAGGCACTTCAAGATTCCCCTGTCGGTTCATCTATCCGTGCTGCTGACCGCCACGTGGTAGGATACTCGGCTGGTCTCTTCTTCTGGTACGACATAAGTTTTAACTATCGGGTCCAAGGTGACTGGTTTACTGGAAGACTGGATAACTGGAAGACTGGATCACTGGAGCAGCAGGTGTTAACAGGGTGAACGCTAATTAACGAGTGTCCAAAGAGTACCCTATTGTAGCTTTTATATCTCATCCCCTTAACGATAACTTCTTCTAGCATCTGATGGGGTACCTCCAAACCCTTAACTTCCACTGTCTATTCTCCGGATACTAACTTCCCTTAGCTTCTTATGGGTAACTATAGGCGAACGATTCCGATCAGTTTGGGGGAAGGAAGGGGTGAGGTCGGGTAGAAAAGAAAGTGTCAGAAAATTTTCCGTCGCGGCCTGTACCAGCGAGTCCCGAAGGCGCACTGTACGACAGATAAAGCATAGTCAGATATAGCCTTATTTATGTGGC